GAAAGGGGTCAGCTTATCAAGGGCTTTAATACAGCTTCCCTTTCTTTTCCTCTATTGTATCTATTTGTCATACCTTTAATCATTGTTACAGAATGTGATGATTTCTGAAAATCCAAACCTCTACTGAAAAGACAAAGAGGGGACTTCATTCACCTTTTGAGATTTGGCCCAATTCCCATCTTCCACCACACCCAGGTTGCCTTAAATGGGAATTCCTTAGGCAGGAAAGCTTGGGGGCGTGGAGACAGGAGATAAACAAAGGGCCCTTTTGTCAAAAGGAGAGTGAATGCTCATACTGATATTCTTGCCAGACATCTAATGTTATGATTTGTGCTCTTGCCTCACCATGCTATGAGTCCAGTTCTCATTCAGAAGCTACCTCTGTTCACATCCCAACATGCCCCATAAGGGTGTTGCCGACTGATTAAAAGGGAAAGGAGTGTCACACAGCAACCCAGACAGCTCATAGGGAAGGAATGACAGGTTCTTTGAGGTTGAGTGGTTTTTTTTTTTTGGTTGTTTTTTGCTTTGGGGTATGTGTGTGTGTGTGTGTGTGTGTGTGTGTGTGTGTGTGTGTGTTTTGGCAGGGTAATATTCTAAGGCAGGTCATACCACAGCTTCCACCCTATGATTAGTGGGTGGGTAGGGGCTGAGCACTAGCAATGATGCAAAATAGGAAATAAATTAGGATAATAAGAGACAAAGAGGAAACGAGTAAATTTTCCGCAAGTAATATTTTTCTCTTTATGGTTATTTGACTTTGAAACAGCACATGAAAGTAGTAATCATGTTACTCTAGGAGACAAAGCACAGAATGTGGGAACCAGGCAGAAGAAGCATGTGATTCTCCTCAATGTACTAATTAGAAACACACAGAAAGAAACAGAGCTTTCAGGAATCAACTACTGTCTTCATGGCTATGGAAAAGCAGAGCAAAACATAAAAGAAGTAGCACAGGAAGAGAAGGGAGCAAGCATTTATTAAGCGCCTACTATGTGTCAGGTACTTTACAAATATTGTCTCATTTTGATCCTCACAACAACCATAGGAGGTAGGTGCTATTATCCCCATTTTACAGTTGAGGAAACTGAGGCAAACATAGTGACTTGTCTAGAATCACACAGCTAGAAAATGCCGGAGTCTGAATTTGAAGTTAGGCCTTCCTGACTCCAGGCCCAGCATTCTATCTACTACAGTGGATACCATCAGGGAAAATACTGATTAGTCCTATTGTCTCAAAGTAGTACAATAGTAAATTTTCTTCTTCTAACTAATTTGCAATCTGGGGGCAATGTTGTATGGTGGACTGTTTATGGAGTCATGGGGCTTAGGTCTAAGTCCCATCTTTTATGCTTGCTATTTGTTTTGACCTTGAGGAAATTGCTTGTAACTTCCTTGAGCCTCAGTTTCCTCATCTGTAGAATGAAGAGGCTTTACTATATGGCTTCTATGATCCCTCATACTCTAAATTTGTGACCTTTTTGAGCCTTTGAGTTGTTATCTCATGGTCCAGGAATAATATTGTTTTATTCTATAATGTACTTTTCACTGATGGGCGATTTCAAAATTCATGTTAATCTTAGCTCTGCTGCAACAGTAGCAATGTTCTTCCCCACTTCCTCCCCCTTAAAAAACCTCTTAGTTTTTCACGTTGTATCCGTGCACTGGTATAGTATTTTGGTTTCACAGTATTCTTTCCCCCATATCCTTAGCTCCTGCAGAACCTCTGTTGTGCAAGTTTGCAGATGGTGGACAGAAGAAGCGACAGAATCAGAACAAGTACATCCAGAATGGGAGAGCATGGCACAGAGAAGGCGAGGTGAGGCTTCTGAGTCTTTCCCCTGAAATCTCAGCGTGGCTGTATAGCAATGACTTCTTCAGGAAATAGTCATAGAAAAGACTTTTTTTAGCCTACCCACACATCACTTTTTGAACAGCTGCCATTGGTATAGATATAGTTTCTATCTTAGAATACATCTTATCTTAAAACTGTCCAGATATACAGGAATCCACAAATCAGGTAAAATGAGAAGAATTTAACACTGGCTGGAGTCTTTAGGTTCCATGGAGCACACAGTTATAGGCTAGTGCTTGGATCCTCTGGGTCAATAGCATGTTTTTTAAGAGGTAACAACATTAAATGCTGCT